TTTTTTTTTTTTTTTTTTCCAGATTCACACAAACACTGTTTATCTTGTCTACTGTATAGATCCCATAGGATAAAACATTTACCATAGAAATCATCAACTGTATCTGAATTGATTATCTCTGCTTTATTAGACCTAATATCCTATACACCACATTAATGTTCAGGATGTTAGCATGCTGGCTAACATCGCCACACATGCTAGTATTAGCATTTAGTATGGAGTAATCATAAAGTTGATTTTTTAAAAATATTTTAGTTATTTATTATTAATATTTTATTTATTATATTTTATTATTTTTATTACTATTGTCTTTGGTTCATGTTCAACACAACCGCAGTCCTGTCAGGGCTGAGAATCAAACCCACAATCCCCACTGGACCTAAACAGCCAGCAGTGAAATCATGATATTAAATGTCCTACTTTGACAGAAACAGCAGAATTATCAGCTTTTTCACTGGAACTGGAGCCAACGTTTAACAGGCTGACAAGGCCGAGATAAGATGAATAAGCATAAGATATATTTATATTTATATATAATTAAAAAAAGAACACACGGTGGAGTGAGGAGCACATTTCACAGCTCTTCTACGCTCCTGAACAATGCAGGTCTCTGAAGAGCTCAGGTAACTGGGGCAGCAACACATCGAGTCACAAAAGCCCGTTCCCACTGAGCTGTTCCACTTTTCCTTCGTACCTCTTCAATCCAACGACGCCGCTGCGTCCATCTGCCGCCGGTGCCACAGGATTTGCCAGGCCTGGAGACAAAAGCTGCCAGAGGAGCAGACAGCAGGGGAACAATGATCGATGACAAGGTTTTTGATAGGTGGGAACCTGTGCCATTATCCCCAGGAGAGGGCGAGAGGGTGAGGGGTCAGGGTCACAACTGCGGCTGGATGGAAGGATGCCAGGAACAGAGGCAGAACCTGGAGGAGAGAAGAGTTGGTGATAATGAAGCTTCATTTGTCTGTGAGGGAAATACTGTGGCATTTTTATACGTCATATATATATATCACATTCTCATATATTTGAGAATGTGATTCTGATGTTCAGCTTTGAAAACGTCCTTGTGTGATCTTTGGTTTTTATTAAGACTTTTTTTGGTAAAATATAAGACAATAATATAATATAAACAGCTGTAAAAATTGAATGAATCTGTTGTACATATTACAAATTGATATATTTTTTATTGGTAGTTTTAGTTTCAGTTAGTGTTTTTAAATACTTTTTTAAAAAAATATTGATTATTTACATATAAATGTAGGGAATAAATATAGCTTTTTTTGCAACATTGCTAATGGTTTACGACTACACAGAAAAGCAGGTGCTTTGTGCTACAGTAACCAAACAAATATTAAATATTAAGAGTAATATACCCAACATAAATGAGTCTTTAACAGAAGTTATTTGTCTTTTGAGGTAATAATATTTGTCTATATTTCTGTTGTATGAACGACGTCACATGTATATTAAATAAATGCCACACTCAGTGTCAGTGACGATGGAGGAGCCACAGCTTGAAGGAAGTCTGGCTCCGACTGATCAATACTCATAAAGTCTTTCCTGTCTCTGATTGTTTCTCGTCGTCAGGGCAGAGTTTTTAAAAGAAACCTGATCAGAGGAGTAAAGCCTCTGAAGAGTTGGCTCAGTGGTGAGCACACATTTACCCTCACCCGTCAACTGTCACCCCTCGCCTCCCTACAGAGGCGTTCATCTTTGGGAAACACCTTAGTCACTTTGGTGAAGGCTTCTGCTTCACCGCACGACTCCGAGGGAGTCAGCTGACGGATTAAAAAGATGGAATGATTGATGGAGGAGCGGCAGGAAAAAGAAGGAGGAGTGAGGAGAGAGGGAGAGAGAGGGAGAAGATTCACGGCCGTGAATGCACAAGTTCAGCAAGGAGCTGCAAAAAAAATGGTGCAGTCAGCAAGAGGAAGAGAGGGAGACAGAGAGAGAGAGGGAGAGAGAGGGAGAGAGAGAGGGGGGGAGATTCATCAAGTTTATAAATCTGCATGAAAGCCATATAGTAAATAGCTATAGGATGGATTTGGTGTGTGTGTGTGTGTGTGTGAATAAAGATGGGTTTGGTGTGCATCTGTCCACAGGAGGACGTTAAATAAACTGCTTTTTCATGTCTGTGACGTAAGACTTTAGGAACAGACGGTAAAATGTATTTTTAAAAATGATATGATTAAATGTAGGTGAATATAGATATGTAGATATAGATAATCAATCAAAAACAAATGAAATACTGAAAAAGGAGACAAACAGTGGAAAAACACACACACACACACATACACACACGGGGAGACACACATTTAGTTTTAGATTGAAAACGTCTCTGTACTGTGTGGCTTCGGTGTGGATGATAAATACTGTAGTTCTAAAGATCCTACTGGGGGTAAATCCTCTGTGTAGTTCTACTACTGGTACTGGGAGAGACAAATACTTCCACAGGTAGTATGTGGTTACTGCTACTGCTACAAACAAATACTCCAGAACTGTTTTTCCATTTCTGGAATGTTGGGATTAAAAAACGACATTATCTGGCTGTGGTGCCACACGTCGCCATCCTGTGGCTTCAAGATGAAAAGTAAACATTGAGGTAATTGACATTGTTGATTGGATGATTAATTAAAGAAAACGTCTCCTTAGATCTGATGACATCTATGTTATAAAGCTGCAGGACAGATTGACGTCATTAAAGATTCATTCAGTCATTTTCTCACTCATTCATTATTCACGTGGCTTCATTTACAGTTTAATAACTGGATCTACATTTCCACAGTCTCTGCTCCAGCTTCACCTGGAGTTCGACCTGCGGCCTCGTTCACACTGAGAGGAATTTCAAGGTGGTTTGAAACCAAGAAAATGAATCGTGTTTTTGGACCAGACAGGAAATTAACTGTTAGTGTTTCAGAAAAATTAGCTTCTCGCTAAAACCAGTAACAGAAAAACAAGATCATGTTTGGGAGACAGACGTCGACAGAGGGAAATGAAATGAAATGACAAAGGTGGCAGCGGTCCATCAGTGAGTGGTGTGTGTATGGAGTGTGTCCAAGAGAGGACAAGAGTCCACACAGTCGGAGACAAATATCAGATAACAGAGGGAAGTGTGAAGTGGATGGTCAGAGGAGGAGGAGCCACCCGCCCCCTGCTGCTGCTGCTGCTGCTGCTGCTGATGCTACACAGCCCACGCTCTGACTACACACTTCCTGGATTACTGATGTGACGGACGATTACAGATCCATTGATCTGGTTAAAGTGGTTACGTGGTCAGAAGGTCGTCACAGCCGTCTCTGAACTGGCGTTAATCACCGACTAATTGAAGGGAAACGACTGTGATTTAGTTTAGACTCAGACTCAGGCTGCACTGCCAGCTACGACCAGCTCTTCACCGGCCAACAGTCGACATGTTACACCTGTTCACTGGCTGTTGTTGTTGTTGCTGTTGTTGTTGTTGTTGTAAAAGGAGCCAAAATCAAAGAGGGGGAGGGATGGTGG